TAAAATACTGATGACATTTCATTTAAACTAAAAATGAAAATGCTGTCATTTACAACCTTTTATGCAAAAATAGGCGCTACGTTTTCAGACACGTTTATATTGTTTTGTAGAAAAAAATACCAACTATTCAACTTCAAAAGCATTAAAAAATACAATGCTTGGTTGATTTTCAATCATTAGATATAAAAACATTTGTAATTCTGAACAACAGTCATTTACTGGAAGTTAATTGATGTCAGCGATGATTTGCTTATTTGAATCTTTGAAGTAATGTTATTATGGGGAAATGTAATTATAGCTGCATTTACGTGTGTGGGTGTGTATGTAATATCATATTATAGTTATTGTAATATTGCATATTATTATATGCATACACAGTAAAACCAGGTGAAATTAGTGCGTTAACTCAAAACTCACTGAAAGTTAATTCAACTTATTTGAAAAGAGTTTTAAACTCAATGTTGAATGTAATGAGTTAATTTAATACCTCATTACTTCACATAAATGGAGTAAGTTCACAGTACTCATTAGGATTAGTTTTTGAACTTAAATGTTTTGTTGCAATCGGTTTCCTCAAACGTTTTGAGTTATCTTAGATTTTGGGGTTTTACAGTGAACATGTTTTTAATTATTTGGTTTAATTATTTTCAGAAATAGGAGACAAATATGTATCAGTGTCTTTATGCTGGAGAAAACAATTCTACAAAACTGGAAGTCTGAATACATGCCTGTTTTTGAATTCTGCTTCAGAAGCCTATAAAGTTATGTGTTGCCCTTGGAAGAATTGAGATTTGGGTTGGCAAAAAGAAAAAATATTTAGAAACACCTGGAAAGCAATAAGGCTTTTTATTAGTAATGCTGGATTATTATGTCTTATGGGTTGGATTGGTTTGGTGAGCGCTGAGATGTGGAGCATACACACTTCTCTTTAAATGATTTAATCTATTTCTTCTTTTGCTTTCTTAGAGAATTTTTATTATGATTTGTCATTATTTTTGAATAGGCATGGGACGATAACTGGTTTACCACGGTTTGGAAAAGTCAAGGTTTTAAAACTGCTAGAATTTTCTGTTACACAGTTCTTAAGGTATACGTAAGTTTTTTTTTAATGTTTTTTTTTCGGTAAAGAAATCCGTGTTTTTAAAACTGATGAAAAAAGCCGAGGTCAATTATTTATTATAATTATATACTAATTATTTAGCCTGACATATTTACTGTTAAAAAAAATTGTTCCCTAAAACAAACCGTGTTCAATGAAAGACAAAAGGTTGTTTTTTTACCCAGACATTTTAAAATAACTTATCTTAGAGCAATAATCACAATACATTGATACCGTGAAACTGATTTTTTTTAATCCAAGGTTATCATACCGTACTTACACCAGCCCATGCCTAATTGTGAAATGGCTCCCTTTGTACTCTTTCTGTTCTAGTTAATGTTATTGTTTATTCTCTTATGCTATAATGATTAAAATATATCTATATTTTAAAAATTGTTTATTATAAATGCAAATATTAGTGACAATGTAACCAATAGTTAAAGTAAACTTTTAAAAAATTATTTAATTTGTAATGCACAATTCTGTTTGTAAAACTATAAAATAGAAAGCACTGAATAATTTATATGATAATTATTAAATAATTTAAATCGTTTATATGTTGTACTTTACATTTATTATCCTTCATATATTTTAAAATGGATATTTTATTTTTGTTTTGTTTTATTTTATTATTTTCCTTGCAAGTTTCATGAAACTTTTCTATCCAACTAGGTAAAAAATATTTATCACTGCACGTTTTTTCAGTTAACATTTATTTTAAGTCACAGAAAATATTTATATTTTACGCTTTTAGTTACATTTACGGTGGCCCAGTAGTGCAAAACACAACAACATTAAGATGAAAATGCTGCAACACTAAGATGAAAAATGCTGCAACACTAAGATGAAAAATGCTGCAACACTAAGATGAAAAATGCTGCAACACTAAGATGAAAAAGCTGCAACACTAAGATGAAAAATGCTGCAACACTAAGATGAAAAATGCTGCAACACTAAGATGAAAAATGCTGCAACACTAAGATGAAAAATGCTGCAACACTAAGATGAAAAAGCTGCAACACTAAGATGAAAAATGCTGCAACACTAAGATGAAAAATGCTGCAACACTAAGATGAAAACGCTGCAACACTAAGATGAAAAATGCTGCAACACTAAGATGAAAAATGCTGCAACACTAAGATGAAAAATGCTGCAACACTAAGATGAAAAATGCTGCAACACTAAGATGAAAACGCTGCAACACTAAGATGAAAAATGCTGCAACACTAAGATGAAAAATGCTGCAACACTAAGATGAAAAAGCTGCAACACTAAGATGAAAAATGCTGCAACACTAAGATGAAAAATGCTGCAACACTAAGATGAAAAATGCTGCAACACTAAGATGAAAACGCTGCAACACTAAGATGAAAAATGCTGCAACACTAAGATGAAAAATGCTGCAACACTAAGATGAAAAATGCTGCAACACTAAGATGAAAAATGCTGCAACACTAAGATGAAAACGCTGCAACACTAAGATGAAAAATGCTGCAACACTAAGATGAAAAATGCTGCAACACTAAGATGAAAAAGCTGCAACACTAAGATGAAAAATGCTGCAACACTAAGATGAAAAATGCTGCAACACTAAGATGAAAAATGCTGCAACACTAAGATGAAAAAGCTGCAACACTAAGATGAAAAATGCTGCAACACTAAGATGAAAAATGCTGCAACACTAAGATGAAAAAGCTGCAACACTAAGATGAAAAATGCTGCAACACTAAGATGAAAAAGCTGCAACACTAAGATGAAAAATGCTGCAACACTAAGATGAAAAATGCTGCAACACTAAGATGAAAAATGCTGCAACACTAAGATGAAAAATGCTGCAACACTAAGATGAAAACGCTGCAACACTAAGATGAAAAATTCTGCAACACTAAAAACGTAACACAACGGAAATGCTCCCAACCACTAGGTGGCAGTGGAACACCGATTACTTCTTCTGATTAAACAGATATTATTAATACAGACCAAAACAATGATTATTACCTCGAGAAATTCCACAAGAAGTTCTAAATGTAAGTTAGTAACATTAAATTTAAATCAAGTTGTGAATGAGGATTTTTATTACTTTAAGATTTGATATTCTGGGAAATTTTTATGTTTTTATAAAATTAAACATCAATAGTACTTCATGAAGCAATCCACAGAACTTGTTTCTGTTTTTCCTGCTTCAGAAACATTGTCATAAAAATCTATTGCATGTCACATTAATCAGCTAACGAAAATCTGCATTAAATATTAAAAAGAATAAAACATTCTTTAGAAATCAAACAGCATGTCCAATTAACATAAATCCTCGGGATCGTGCTTTGACGAGGTGTAACGTTACAACGCTATTTTAATATATTCATCAAAAAATAAGAAAATTCCGTGACAAACCGCGTTATTCGATTTCATGACAGATACGATTTATGAAATTCATTGGACCCTACAAACAATACAGCATTGTAACTTACCTCCACTGGTGCTGGGCTCATTTCCATCAGGAACTTTGCCTTTCAGAAACGTTATGTTTTTTCCACATTTGCTGCAGAATGACGGGCAACTGTCAAGTGAAGCCCCGCAAAATGGGCAATACATGATTGCTACCAAGAGCAACGTCCGAAATGAAACGAAACTTTTGAACTAAAACTCTTAAGATGGGCACACGACTGCCCGTTATCTGCCACCTAGTGGTCAGGAGCATTTCCGTTGTGTTGTGATTTTAAAGTTGCAGCGCTTTTCATCTTAGTGTTGCAGCATGATTCATCTTAGTGTTGCAGCGTTTTTAACTTAATGTTGTTGTGTTTTCATCTTAATGTTGCTGCATTTTTATCTTAATGTTGTTGTGTTTTTATCTTAATGTTGCAGCATTTTTATCTTAATGTCGTTGTGTTTTCATCTTAATGTTGCAGCATTTTTATCTTAATGTTGTTGTATTTTCATCTTAATGTTGCTGCATTTTTATCTTGATGTTGTGTTTTCATCTTAATGTTGCAGCATTTTTATCTTAATGTTGTTGTGTTTTCATCTTAATGTTGTTGTGTTTTCATCCTAATGTTGTTGTGTTTTCATCCTAATGTTGTTGTGTTTTCATCTTAATGTTGTTGTGTTTTCATCTTAATGTTGTTGTGTTTTCATCTTAATGTTGTTGTGTTTTCATCTTAATGTTGTTGTGTTCATGTTGCAGCATTTTTATCTTAATGTTGTTGTGTTTTCATCTTAATGTTGTTGTGTTCATGTTGCAGCGTTTTCATCTTAATGTTGTTGTTTTGCACTATTGGGCCACCGTATACATTTAATAACTTTTAAACTATTAAATAGATACAAGCAAACCCCAAAAAGCTAAACAAATTGAAATAAATATAAACCAACAATCACAATGAGGATTCAAGCACATCTCTGCATTCACAACAGCAGAAAGAGAGCAAAGACCTATTCAGGTAAACAGTACAACGTGTATTAATCATAAAAACGTTATTAATATGTTAATGAGATAATAATTAGATTTTAAAAGTGCACATTCTATTCTTAACAGTGAAGTAAAGCGGTCGGTTTGGCAAACCTGAATCTCTCCAGTCATCTGCTCGTTCCAGAGCAAAAACGCACGCAAATATTTCTCGTGTTATGTAAAAATGAAGATTGTCAGTAAAACTGATTGTCTTTTATCCACGCCTATTGCTTTTTAAAGAGAAAAGTTAGTGTGCGGTAGATAAAGAGAGTGCTTTAATGGGCAAACCGGACAGTGGGGTTGTAACAAAGCCCTGAATGAAGTTCCCACAATTCCCATTCACATACACACACATTAGCTCGCTAGCAAACGAAAAAGCCAAACCGCTTCAATTCGCGCCTCATTTTTGGGGCGTATTTTCCATTTGATGCCCCGGTAAAGTCCGCTTGGGTGACTTACCTCTCCTGGTCCAGGATTCTGTCGTTTTTGTTGTATTTGAGAGCTGTGTTGTGTGTAAGGAGGCGTCCTGTTCCGGGGTCACATCCCGACAGTCGGCAGCGCTGGAGTGACTCAAGAGCGTAAACGCGCCGCTGCTGCTGAATCAGTTCCTGCCGAAGCGATGCGCGGCCGCCGACACTAGAGAGCGCTGTGACGCTGGAGGAACTTTAACTATACAGAGATCAGTGAAGCCCTGAAAAGAAATAGATTTGAAAATAAGATTAAATGTTTTGCTTAGCTTACATTTATTTTATTACATATTATATTATATTGTATTATATTGTATTATATTATATTATATTATATTATATTATATTATATTATATTATATTATATTATATTATATTCATCATCACATCATAATATATATATATATATATATATATATATATATATATATATATATATATATATATATATATATATTTATTTATTTATTTATTTATTAAGTATATGTGATACACACACATACATAAAAAGCAAAACTATGCAGAACAGATGCATGCATGTGTGTATTTATATATACCTAATAAATATACACTACATATGCATATATTGTCAAAACAAACTTTTATTTTATATGCAATTAATTGCTTAAAAATATAGTTAATTATATTATATTATATTAACAATTTTCTATAGTTACTAATCTAATTCTTAGATACTTCCAGAGTTATATTGCTTTTTTTGTAATAAATAATTTCTTCAAATCAATGTTGCCATCTCAGGAGGTTATTTTATTAATATTTTTAGGGTTGTTTTCTTACACATTGTTCTTTTATTATACAGTAGAATGTAGTAGGGATTTACAATTTCATCATAAATTCCTATAAATGATATATACTCATCGGTAACTTTATAAGGTACACCTTACCAGTACTGGGTTGGACCCACTTTTGCCTTCAGAGCTGCCTTATTCTCGGTGGCACAGATTCAACAATGTACTGGAGATATTTCTCAGAGATTTTGGTCCATCTTGACCTGATAGCATCAAACAGTTGCTGCAGATTTGTCGGCTGCACATCCATGATGAGAATCTCCTGTTCCACCACATCCCAAAGGTGCTCTCTTGGATTGGATCTGGTGACTGTGGAGTCCATGTGAGTACAGTGAACTCATTGTCATGTTCAAGAAAACAGTCTGAGATGATTCACGCTTTATGACATTGCGCGTTATCATGCTGGAAGAAGCCATCAGAAGATGGGTACACTGTGTTCATAAAGGGATGGACATGGTCAGCAACAATACTCAGGTAGGCTGTGGAACTGACACGATGCTCAGTTGGTACTAATGAGCCTAAAGTGTGCTAAAAATATCCCCCACACCATTACAAGGCAGGATAAATCCATGCTTTCATTTTGTTGACGCCAAATTCTGACCCATCTTAATGTTGCAGCTGAAATCGAGACTCGTCAGACGAGACAACGTTTTTCCATTGTCTATTGTCCAATATTGGTGAGCTTGTGGGAATTGTAGTCTCGGTTTTCTGTTCTTAGCTGACAGGAGTGGTACCCGGTGTGGTCTTCTGCTGCTGTAGCCCATCCACCTCAAGGTTTTATGCGTTGTGCGTTTAAAGATGCTCTTCTGCAGACCTCGATTTGAACGAGTGGTTAGTTGAGTTACTGTTGTGTTTCTATCAGCTCGAACCAGTCTGGCCATTCTCCTCTGACCTCTGGCATCAGCAAGCCATTTGCACCCACAGAACTGTTGCTTACTGGAAATTTTCTCTTTAACAGACCATTCTCTGTAATCCCTAGAGATGATTGTGCATGAAAATCCAAGTAGATCAGCAGTTTCTGAAATACTCAGACCAGCCTCGCACCAACAGCCATGATACGTTCAAAGTCATGTGAATCACCTTTCTTCCCCATTCTTATGCTCGGTCTGAACCACAGCAGATCATCTTGACCATGTCTACATGCCTGAATGCATTGAGTTGCTGCAATATGATTGGCTGATTATAAATTTGCATTATCAAGCAGTTGGCTGGTGAGTGTAAACCTTCACAGTACATCCCTCCTTGATGGCATAACAATAGCCTATACTGCCATTCAATAAGTCTGCAGTTGTTTAGACAGCCTGAATATGACAGGCACTAATGAACCTGTTTTCTAATCTGCCGAATACAGAAACACTATTAAACTTTTATTAACATGTAAAAGTTTAAAATTAGCCATTAAAGTGCTTAAGAGAGGTTCATGTTTCTCAGGATTAACAACTGATACTGCTGAATCACAGAAAATCATTTAACTAAACTGCTACGAACTGATTTCAGTGACCTATAGTGTGTGTTTCTGGGAGATTCCCAGCAGTCTCGTTTACTGTACATTTCACCCTGGGAAAGCCTTGTTTATAATTCATTACACAATCAAGACTGAAGATGCAAACAACTTCCAGTTCCGCTTTTATCTCTGTTCCATTTGAACTGTGTATGTTTCTCTAACTCACATTAATAACATTCAAACGCTGATCAGGCGTATTTAACATCCTGTCCCAAACTATTCTGAGTTCTGCAAATTCAGGGGAAATTCAGGCGGACAGTCAGAAAAATAAACATTTTCCATCCTCACAGATCACAGTGAGAAGCTAAACTCCATTCCCAAGCAGGTCAAGATTTGAGAAGTGAAATTGAAATTGACCACTTAAGAGGTCGTAGAACTATAAAAACACATAATGTAGAACATCAGCAAAACGAGACCTTTCTCACTGGTACATCTAAGCAAGAAGATTCATTCATTCATTTTCTGTTCGGCTTTGTCCCTTTATTTATCAGGGGTCATCACAGCGAAATGAACCACCAACTTATCTGTTTTACGCATCTGATGCCCCTCCAGCTGCAACCCAACACTGGGAAACACCCATACACTCTTGCATTCACACACATACACTACGACCAATTTTGCTTATTTGATTCACCTATAGCGCATGTCTTTGGGTTGTAGAGGACCCACCCAGCCGGGCCTCAAACCAGCGACCTTCTTGCTGTGAGGCAATCATGCTACCCACTGTGCCATCCTGATGCCTGCAAGAAGATTCAAATTTACAAAAATTATCTAAAAATATATAGGCCTACAGCTAAAGTCAAAACAGAAGGATTTTTTCACAGTATTTCATAGAAATTTTTTTTCTTCTGGAGAGAGTCTTCTTTTATTTCAGCTAGCATAAAAACAGTTTTAAAAAAAATGTAAGGCCATTTTAAGGTCAATATATATTTTTTCATTTGTCCTCATAACAAATTGCTGTTATACCTAGTTGCCTAGTGAACCTAATGGGCTATTTGCACAGTTAGAGTTTTTCAGCCAGTGATAAACTTCCGGTAAAAGATAAATGTGACTATTTCAATTTAGGGTTCCTTTCACAGCATCAATGTTGTAATGCAATTACAATACATTCAGTTAAATAGACTTAAGCATTCATTAAGTTGTTCAAATGTAAAACGAGAAAAAAGACTGTGCTAGCGTCATCAGGATCATCAGACTAGTGCAGAAACTCCATTGAAAATTGTTGTAAAATATTACAGTCATATTTTACAGACATGGCGGTGGGAAATGTCATTTAATGCAGTGCTTCTTTTCCGGTCGGAGACCCACTTTATATCGTATATCTATTAGGCAGTATAAATAAAAATAATTTCAGACCTTTAACTTGGCAGTTTTATAATGGAAAAACAGGAAGCGCTGAGGCTGGCTGGTTGAAATTAAAAAGTCAGTGTGCATATAGCACATTAACGTAATTAAATCTTTAAATCTTACTTCAAGCTGATTATTATCTTGAAAAATATCTAGTAAAAAAGTATGTACTCTCGTCCTGACAAAGATAAAATAAGTCTAATTATTCAGAAAGGCTTATAATTCTGACTTCAAATGTAGTCAAGAAAAATATATATACTTTGCTTTGCAACATCAGAGAGTTTTTGTAAAACTGAGGTGTTTCCATTTCATTTTATGTAATTTGCAGGGTAATGGCATACCTTAATGATAGCATGGTAATCGTACCTTACATCAGTGGTTCTCAAAATGGGGGTCGCGGTACACTAATGACAAGGGGTCGCGTGATTTCCAAAACTCAAATAAATTTTATTAAACTATTTTAATTACCATATTTTGTTCATAACTCACAAAAAATAATTAATAGTTGCGTTAAAGAAACAACAACAACAACAACATGCAAATAAAAAATCAGCCATCAATAAATGACAAAAATATATATGGTTAATAGGCTGTTGCATTTTTGTGTTGTCAATATGTTCATGTTAGTTGTGTCTGCAACGTTTATATATTTACAGTATAACCACCTTGAAAAATGGGGATCGCGAGTTACTGACATTTTTATTTTGGGGAGCGCGGGCTGAAAAGTGTGGGAACCTCTGCCTTACATAACCTGTAAAGGTAAAATATTTTGTGCGCCCTCTGGTGGTTGGATATGACATATATTAAACCCCGCACTAACCATTTAAATGAATTGTCAAACTAAAAGAATCGGAATATATTTCTTGAACCAATATTTTACATCACAGGTACGGCATCAGTGTGGCGCAAAGGGACACACATACGCCCCACAGCAAAAAGGTTGCTGGTTCGAGCTCCGGCTGGATCAGTTGGCATTTCTGTGTGAAGTTTGCATGTTCTCCCTGTGTTCTTGTGAATTTCTTTGGATGCTCCAGTTTTCCCCACAGTCCAAAGACATGCGCTATGGGTGAATTGAATAAGCTAATTTGGCTGTAGTGTGTGTGTGTGTGTGTGTGAATGCAAAAGTGTATAGGTGTTTCCCAATACTGGGTTGCAGCTGGAAGAGCATCCGCTGCGTAAAACATATGCTGGATAAGTTGGCGGTTCATTCCGCTGTGGCTACCCCTGATTATGGGACTAAGCCAAAAAAAAAATGAATGAATATAATGACTTCTTCAAATAAAAAGCACACAAATCAGTTTCATTATCAATAATTTATGGCAAAATGAAAACGAATAGCACAATTCAATAACTCAAAAGTATAAAAAAATCATACCAAAGCAGTTCGGTTTGAAGAAAATTAATTAGTAACAGAAAAATCCTGGAGATT